TAGTCTGACGCGACAGCTCGCCCATCGCATCTCCCGTCGCGCGGAACGTCTGGAACATTCCTGACAACCAGTACCCCTATCTCCTGATCCTCGAACCCGCTCGCCCTTTCCGATCTCCCATCGCACCCGCCGTCGACCCCATGCCTCATGGATTGCATATCTTCTCAAAGATGAACTCTCTGAACATAATCACCTCGCGCGTGTCCCCGCCGCCGAGCCCGGTCGCTTCGCGATCCAACTCCCTGGGTTCGCTGGGTCTGACCGTTCAATCCGACGACAACCAGCATGATGGCGAGAGCGCAGAGAACCAGGGTGACAGTCACGAAGGGGAAACCTTTCCGCTAGAGAAGACCGCATTTGAGAAGAACAACGATGGTCATGGCATGGATCTGGCCAGCGAAGCCACGCCGCTAATAGGGGAATCGAAAGATTCTAGCCTAAGGTCGACTTCATGGCACTCCTTGCCTCGGCGCATGGCTGTCAGCTTCATCAATTCCATCCGCTGGGTCTTGTCAACTCTTGCCGCCCCTGGAGTATATCTCATCGCCTGTCTCTACGACGACACGGGCGCATTCTCGCCCTTTTATCAGCTGAAGAAGCTGTTCGGTTTCGGCGGTAGCAGCAAGAAGCTTGGGAATGATTTCACCGAGTCGAGCGCCATGAACGAGAAATCGGGAAGGCAAGGGAGCGCCGGGTACGGAGGCGTTGCGTATTCCAGGCCAGTCGGGTCGTCAGGGTCATCATCTTCAGGTCTATCATCAGAATCCGAGTCAGACGCAGATCGCAGACGGCGTGGATCCACCAGTCGACACTCTCGGTCCAAGTCTTCAGCAGAGGAAATCGCGCCAGCAAGAAGGTCCATTCGCATTAAGTTGCACAGCGACGATGCACTGCCGACGCGCAAGCATAGGAAGACGCAGTCTGCTGCCGCACGTCCTAAGGAATCCGGCGGCTCCGACATTTCCGCCCAGCTCAAGTCTCCAACATCTCCCGCCGGCGCACTGACGAGATATCCCAAGACGCCGGCTCCTCCCCGACCCTTGATTCCCCGCCGTCAGCCGTCATATCTGAACATCGAACCGACCGATCCCAAATACCAAAAAACCCTTATCTTGGACCTCGACGAAACTTTGATCCACAGCATGTCTAAGGGAGGCCGCATGAGTACTGGACACATGGTTGAGGTCAGACTCAATCAGACGTATGTGGGCGCCGGAGGTCAGACGTCCATTGGACCGCAGCATCCAATCCTGTACTGGGTTAACAAGCGTCCGCACTGCGATGATTTCCTCAGAAGGGTAAGTCGATTGAAGCTGTTGAGGTCAGGAAGTAAGCGTTGACAGCTGTCTAGGTCTGCAAATGGTACAATCTCGTGGTGTTCACGGCTAGTGTCCAAGAATACGCAGACCCCGTTATCGACTGGTTAGAGGCAGAGCGAAAGTTCTTCTCGGCGCGTTACTACAGACAACACTGCACCTTTAGACAGGGCGCGTTTATCAAAGATCTCAGCTCAGTCGAGCCTGATCTCAGCAAGGTCATGATTCTGGACAACAGCCCGTTGAGTTATATGTTTCATCAAGGTACGCGACCAGAAAACGGGGACCCTTCCGCGATCCCATCTAACCCGTACAACAGACAATGCGATCCCAATTCAAGGATGGATCAACGATCCGACAGACAACGATTTGCTCCACCTGGTGCCACTACTAGAAGGGTTGCAGTACGTGTCGGACGTGCGGGCGTTGCTTGCCTTAAGAGGAGGGGAAGACGGTCAGCACATGGCGTAAGGTTTGGGAATTGTAGAGGATTATAGGTGTACAGGCATGGGAATAGCGAAGCGGCCACCGGCGGATTCAACTACGCGGTGTAACGCTGTTTTAATAAAGAAATTCGATGAACAGACGGAGTCTTGAGTTTAGGCGATGCGCTGTGACGCTTTCGAATTGCTGCAGGTATGTCAGACCACTGAAGATTCACCGAAGATGAAAGCAACGCGGTAGAGGAGAAGAAGAAAGTGGCATTTTCGTGGCTTTTGACAATTCCAACTTCTCGATGCAGGGGCTATCAACGCGCTCAAGGGCGCATATTCCTTGTCCCGTTCCTGGCCTAGAGTCGGCCGGGTACTGCCGTCAGTTACCTCGGGTCTTGAATAGACAGGCAACGGTATGAATGATACAATAGATACGTAGTTTTACGGAAGGAATCGCAGGACTTTCTACGTAGAATAGCCTAGAGCTTCACTGCAGGGGTCCGCAAAGCTCGTGGGTCCCGTTCATCGGAAACAGCATCATGGCTCGATTTGCGACTTGGACTTGCACCGCCTTGGTTCAGGACAAGGGGCGTTTTCAAGCCACTGAACCCCCAATCTCGATCAGATTACGGGATATCCGTACTCCAGCTGCACCTTCCCCGCAGTCTCCTCCGACGGTGGCCTGTTTGACAGGCGCTGAATTGCAGGGCCAGGGAAGGCAAATAGCGGAGGGCAAAGGAGGACAAGCTCCGAAAGAGAGGATTGCCATTGAAAGGGAACAAAACAAAAGCTCCCAGGTGACATGGAGGTTAGATGCGGGTAGTTAGCCGGGGGTATGCGGGTTCAGCGGAGGGAGGAAAGGCCCATTGGCAGGTCTCGGCCAATGGAGGGAGCACGGAGTGGGTCGGGTGTGGGTTTGGCGGGGGAGCCAGGGTGGTGACATCATGGCACAGGTGACGACACCACGGCCTCAGGTGCTTCGCTGGGCCAACAGTTCCCAATTGCGGCTGGCTGGGGGCGGAAAGCTGCTGTGGAAGGGGGGAAATGGCAGAGTGGGAAAAGAGATTTGGCCTGGTCTGGACTGGTAGTCGGGGACACATCATGCAGCAGCAAGGCAGGGTACGAATAAACAAGCAGGCAGGCAGGCAGGCAGGCGGTAGGAGACGTCTTATTCCATTTGGACGAGAAGCGCCCCCCACCCCCCCTGCTTGTACCTTTCGCCCAGCTATGCTTTTAGTGCGCATAGCTCCTGTTAGCCCTTGGCTGAGGTATTCTTACACTTCGTCGATGAGGGAACGAGACTTCGATCTCCTCGACGGGGCCCGCGTCGCCTAGGCGGTTCTTGTACCTTGGTTACCCAGTACCTCAATAGCTAGCTCTGTTTCGCCCTCCGGGGGGGCAGGATTGTGGTTGAGCTTGGCCTTGGCTTTGAGGTCTCTGGTACTTTTCCACTTGCGTGCAGGAGCTGAGGTCACAGCTAGCTCACACACACGTTGCGGTGCCTTGCACCACCTGCCTTCCACCCACCACCTCTTTGACACATAAAAGCCAGTCCTGTCCCGCCTCTCTGGTCACAGGTCTCTATTTACATCACTTCCTCAGTCCAATCGAACTTGAGTTTTCCAGTTTCATCAAAAGATACCCAAAACACCGCCATCATGTCTTTGCACTGTAAGTTATGCCTCCTTGGCTTCGAAGAAAAGGAGCTTGTGCCTCAATGTCGACAGCACGCCGATATGTCGTCATCGTGGATCAAGGCAGCATGACAGAAACGAATAGATTCAACAGGTTGCTAATATCGACTGCTCAACAGACCTTCCCCCCGTCAAGCCTTCGGCCATCGCCCTCGGCACCATCTTCAACCACACCACTGAGCTCGCTGGTACGTGATACCTTTCCCCTGGCCTCCAAATGACACCATTCGATCACATCAGCTGACCAGAGCTCGCTCGCAACAGTCTTGACCCCCCTCTTCGGCCAGACCTACCAGCGCGCCAAGGCCGCCAACAGCAAGGAGGAGTTCCTCCGCTCCAAGGAGGCCAGCTCCGCCGCCGTCGCCTGGGGCACCTCCCTCGTCGGCTCCGCCCTCCAGTCCTACGGAGTCGGCGCTCTCATCAACGCTACCGGCACGCTCTCCTACAAGGGCGCCGCCTACCTCGGCAGTCTCATCTTCTTCGCTACCTCTGCTCCCGGCGTAAGTTCCTCTTCCTCGCATCTTGCCTTTGTTGTGTCGATGACTGACACGCTTGCGAACAGTACATCTCCCAGGTCTTCGCCGAGAAGCGCCCTCTTGACACCGTCGGTGTTAGCGCTCTCGCCAAGGTCATTGAGACCGTTGGTCTCTCCGTCTTCCTCACTTGGTGGGGAACCCGCACCAACCCCTTCGACTAAAGGGTTTCGTCTCTTTTAATGTAATGAAATGAAAAGGAGGGTCTGGAGCAGACTCTCGTGTGCTATTAGCCTATTGGGTCGGATGGGTTGCGGTCATGGCGTTTGAAGAGAAGTCGATAGCATCGACTGGGAACCATTGTGCCATGTACCTACACTTTCTGCTCAAGCCATGATTCCCCTATTCAAAAAAGGTTCAAAACACTTGCCGTTGGCTACATTGAAGTGATGTGGATGTGCAAAAGGTATCGTCAAAACAACCGAACAGGAGACTTCGAGTATGAAGCATCATTCTCAGTCACACTGATGACCTTGATGGATACATAGCATCAGTGCGTGTCACATTACTTTCTCCGGATGACGAGATTGAGCTTGAGCTTTGCTCTTCGGACATTTGTCACCTCGGGCCGAGCACAGTTCGCGACGAACGACGCCTTCACGGCATCACGGAGAACAGCGCTCTCACTCTGAGAAGCACTGCAAGGGTTTCCTCCACACCTTCGCACCCTGACGGTTCCAACGAAGGCTTTGATGATTTGAAAATCGTTTATTGGTGAGTACTCAACTATACTCATGCAGATAATCCGTTAGAACGCCGAGCATTTCTTGCTTTTGTGCCATCCAGGAGAAAATTCAAGTTCCCATATGTCCGCGCCGCAAGGTTCAGGTGATGGTGGTACAACCCGCATAAAGCCGTTTTGCAATCGTGAACCCCGAACACACACTCTCGAAGGGACGTCTCTCGTACCTAATTTTTATAACACAACCTCACTCGCCCATGCAGGGTATCATGCGCATAACGCAAACACACACAGACTGCATGTCCCTTCAAAATCCGACCACAAGCCCTGGTATCAGTAGCTTAGGACCAGAAAGACTGCTTGGCCGTCTCCTTCTGCACGAGCTTGACCAGGGCAGAGTAGACCTCGGAGTAGTCCTCGCCGTCGTCCTCCTCGGCATCGTCGCCGGCGGACTTCTTCTCGGCCTTCTTGGCGTCGGCGGCGGAGCGCTTCTCGGTGACCATGACGACGGAGGTCGGGCGCTTCGTCTTGGCGGCGGCGCCGAGCTCGGCGCGCGAGGTGACGAAGATGTAGGGCACGTTGTGGTCCTCGCAGAGCACGGGGATGTGGGAGATGACGTCCATGGGGGAGATGTCGCCGGCGATGATGACCACGCCGGGGAAGGCGGTGTTGCTGGGCCCGGAGGCGGGGGACTTGCGGAGGGTCTTGACGACCTCCTTCACGCCGCGCTTGAGGGTGTTGTTCTTGGCGGCTGGAGGGGGAGATGGTTAGTATGCCGGAACGTTTGTGTGGCCCCAATCGACCTCGAAGTGCGACGCGGTGGGGGGGGGGAAACGTACCCTTGCGGATGGACTTCATGACCTTCTTCATGTTCTTCTCGTCGGCCAATGGCACGGCGAAGGGCACGAGGGCGCCGACGACGGGAAGGCCGTCGGCAGTCTTGGAGGAGACATCGCCGGAGGCGACGGCGGTGGCGGCAACGTCGGCCTGGAGGTGCTCGTCGAGGGCGCGCTCGAGCTTCTCCTTCTTGTCCTTCTTGTCCTTCTTATCCTTCTTGTCCTTCTTGACGCCTCCGTCGGACACGGATCGCTTCTTGTCCTTCTTCTCCTTCTTCTCGGGCTTCTCGGCGGCCATTATGACGGTTTGTGGTGGAGGATTGAAGGGTTGGAAGGGGACGGGGGGAGGTTGTGGGTTGGCGACGTGTTGGGTGAAGCTTCGCTGGGACCGACGAGACTCGACTTTTTTTTCTTTGCAACTCAATGGGTTGCTGAACTTTTTTTCAGTGGGGCACCCAGAATCGGCGGCAGATAGTGGCTCCGTGCCGAGGTCTCACCGCATGGACGGCAGGCTTCGGTGAAATGTTCAAGGCACGTGACCTGCAGTGGCCAATCAGCGGCTGTGCATTCCGCAAATGTCAGCGCGAAAGTGACTGAAGAACAGTTGAAGGTATTTCTTTGGTATCATCGGGTATGATTGCGCGTGGAGATTTGTATACCAATTTTCAGTGTTATGAATGATCGCAGCTACAACGATTTTTGCAGATTCATCGGTGTTCCTTTGGGGATTGTACTCATCGGACCTTGTCCAAAACATTCATTGACACATGCATTCCTTGCCACATGCGCATATGAAGATCAAACCAACAATAAACGCCATAGTTAGTGTCAGCAAGAGATGAAATGAATGTAAATCGTCAAAAATTGGGGTTCTATTCCATATCTCCCCCTCTACGTAGTTGATATACACGTGTTTGACACAGGGAATCGTTGGTCCACCTCTAGCTTTCGTCGTCCGCCGTCATCGAGTAAACTGGTTTACTCCTCAGAGTCACCGAACTCGGCGCGGCCCTGCTTGGAGTTCAGGTAGTGGTTGCTGTGACGAGTGTTAGTCGGAAGCCGCTCCTTCAATATCTGCGGACCCTCATCGGGGAGGCTGCAGGGTGACCTACCGGTGGGTGGCCCAGTCCATGATGTACCAGCCGGCAACGAGGGGAGGCAGGAAGTAGAGGACCTGGGCGCTGAAGCGGCGCCAGGTGTTGAAGACGGCGTCGTGGGCGGCACCGGCGAAGGGGTTCTGGCGGTTAGGGGCAAGACCGTAGGTGATGATGCCTCTCTGCTTCTCGCCACCTGCACATTGTCAGTTCTGTGTTCCTCCCAGATTATCTGATCCATCGCGCATCGTCTGGTCGGCAGCATTCGTCGTGTTCCTCTTCTTCATCATCATCCACTTCAACTCCCATGTCCCGTCATTCGTGCATCGCTCGACCATGTCGCTGTCGTCCTTCGCCATCGCAGAATTCGGGAACAAACGTACCAATGTGACCCCACCAGCCGAGGTGGCTAAGAGCTAAGTTAGCGAGCTGCATCAACAACGTAATTGAGGACGTTGCGCGTCGGGGCGGACAGAGGGAAGCATCTCGCTTCCACCTCGGAAAAGCCCGCAAGGCGCTGTCGACTCAATTGACTTGAAATTTGGGCGTTGACTTACTGGCTGTACTTTCCGTGGGGGATGCTAGGTCCCGAGGCAAGAGCTTGGGTAGGTCTCATCTTGGCGGATGGTTGTGGTGGACGGTGATGTGCAACCGGATGTTGAGGGTCGTTCAGTCAAGCTGGAAATCGCAGGGTCAAATCAGACGAGGTTCAAATCTTGTCCCCTTCCTGCCGAACCCGAACGCTGAGGCGCACACCCTAAAGAGGCTTAGCGCTTTTTTGCGACTTTCTTTCCGTCACCAGTTGGTCGAGCCAGTGCACCTACCCACCCCGATGACCCCGGTCGGCTTTAACAGCCGCCCGCCCAAAATTCAATGACGGACCTTACCGCGGCGGCCTGAGGAGCTTTCGACAGCTTCAATCCCACCTGCTCTTGCACCGCAGCCCATCAACAACCACCCCTCAACGCCAACCGGATAGCCCGCGAATTTCGCAAGAGCAATCTCGCGACCCTCGATACCCCGTCTCTCCAGCATCCGAACCACCAGAGAAATTCACCATGGCTCAGGCTCTGGGTTTTGCGTACCGCATGGCGGTCCCCGCGGCGATCGGCGTCGCTGTGCTGCAATCTTCAATCTACGACGTCAGGGGTGGAAGCAGAGCCGTTATATTCGACAGATTAGCGGGTGTCAAGGATGGGGTCATCAGCGAGGGCACGCATTTTCTTGTGCCGTGGCTGCAGAGGAGCATCATCTTCGACGTGAGGACGAAGCCCAGGAACATCGCCACGACAACGGGCAGCAAGGATCTCCAGATGGTCAGCTTGACCCTGCGTGTTCTGCACCGTCCTGAGGTTCAGAACCTCCCCAAGATCTACCAGGTAGGTTCTTGTTTTCTGCAGCGTCTAGAATGAACCAACATCTGACCACTCGCGCAGAACCTCGGCCAAGACTACGACGAGAGGGTTCTCCCCTCCATCGGCAACGAAGTCCTCAAGTCCATCGTCGCCCAGTTCGACGCCGCAGAGCTCATCACCCAGCGTGAGGCCGTCTCCAACCGCATCCGCTCCGACCTGACCAAGCGCGCCGCTGAGTTCAATATCGCCCTCGAGGACGTCTCCATCACCCACATGACCTTCGGCAAGGAGTTCACCAAGGCCGTCGAGCAGAAGCAGATTGCCCAGCAGGACGCCGAGCGTGCGCGCTTCATCGTCGAGAAGGCCGAGCAGGAGCGCCAGGCCAATGTCATCCGCGCCGAGGGTGAGGCGGAGAGTGCCGACACCATCTCCAAGGCCATCTCCAAGTCAGGCGACGGTCTCATCCAGATCAGAAAGATTGAGGCTAGCAGGGAGATTGCCTCTACTTTGTCCGGTAACCCCAACGTTGCGTACTTGCCCAGCAGCGGAAAGGGTAGCCAGATGCTGTTGAACGTGGGACGTCCGTAAAGGGTTATGAGATGAGGATGAAGAGGGGAAAATGGCGATGCTGTACTATAGACTTTGAAGGCAAGTCACCGCTTCAATAAGTGTAATCATAGGGCATGAAACTTGCCTCCTGTTCAACTATGCAACTCAACCAAGGATACCAGCTTGCGTGTGAGGAGGACAAGCAATGAAGCCTTATGTGACAAGAGTGATCAATGGCCGAAAGGAGTTTTCCAAGTGGCCATAAGGTTACGCTCGTTATCTACGTTGGCTTATTTCTCTGGCTAGCACCACAACTGCCGGACACCACACAAGACGAGCTCGAAAACCGCTCCGGGTCGTGCCTACACAGGGTGACAGGCTCCTGCAGGTCCATCGCATGTGCTCTCTTCAGCGCGAAGCCATGATTTGGCCATAACGTAGGTTTTGCTGAATTAGCATCCAGCCTTGATTACTCTCAGCAACATATACAAATTCACGGGCTAATGGGCACCGTGTGTGTTCATCAACTTTGGTGAGCCAACGTCGGCTATGGCACCTTGGGTTAGCTGAGAGCATGACGAAATCGGTCGGCCTATATAGCTGGGGCTTCACACAGAAACCTAAGCAGAGAGTAGGCGAGCACAATTAGACTCGAATTGCCGGTTGTGCGAGGTCCACTGCGAGCTGCGAAGAAAGCTTCAGCGTTTCTTATCCCTTGGGCGCAGAAGATGTCGTCCAATTGTAGCATTCCTTCCCATGTTTGGGATGACAAAGATCTGCCCATCGCCTCTATCTAGTTGTTATTCTAGATGCGTAAATACACCAGACAGGTACCACATTGAGAGTATTGAGGCGCTCAGCTACCAGTTAATGCCAGCAGATGACTTAACTGACCTTACGCAAAAAACCAGCGAAAGTACCGGGTGGATTCGCTTGATTTACCATTCGTGCTTCTGTGTTTGTTATTTAAACCCTGCGGTTACACATAAGGAAACTAGCAAATGGGATTTTTGCCGCTCTTGGTATTTAAGAACTGCCATCGGCCTTCTACTCACATCTCAGCAAGATCGGACTGGCGCCATAAATGTTCCGAAAAATGCATCTCTCACGAGACTCGATATAACTTCCTGGCCTAAGGCGAGAACCACAATCACGAATGCTGCCTTCAATACATTGATCTCTTTGTTCCTTGGCGTCCTTGACTCCTGATGGTCAACATAACCTCTTGCGTATTCAGTGGTTTGTTCATCGCTCAACCATGCAGCTGGCAAGAGAGCAGAATGAATTGATGGATCGACGGATCGACCATGGTACTTCCCGGTAGGTCAACACGCGACTGGAGCCACGAACATTGGTCTTGAAAGCTTCCTTCATTTACGTTTGGTAGAGTTTTTAAGTGCTGTGACCGAGTTCATCCTTAACAGTGATATTCGTCATGAGTAAGTCCACGCAACCCCCGCTGTACCTGCTGAGTCCCCTTCACCTTCCCGGGGAGATACACAAAGATAACTGAACCAGGAGTGATGTGGCTTGGTGTATGGCTAGAAAATATATAAGAGTCTCTCTGCCCCCCAGAGATACAGCTGGAGGAGCCAACGACGCAATAAGACAGGAAAAGAGAACTGGTTCTTCAAAGCCAAAGGATTCAATATAGGGCGGGAGTATTCACATCCAGGACCATGTCCGAAGAGGACATGGCTTCAACCGCACTTTCGGGCGCTCAGTATCCGCCTCTGTCTCACCTCGTCCGTGTACGTGTATTCTGCGCGCAGTATACTGATCGTTGCGTCGTCAGCTGGATAGAAACCCAGCCATCGCATTTCCCATTCCGCACATCTCAAGTATCAGTCGGTCAACCTCACCAGAACCCGTTTTCACGACAGCTTCGATTCTGCTGAAAATTCAAGCCCTTTCGCTGGTCTTGACCACCTCTATATACACCGCGTTGCCAGCAAGATCCACAACCACACCCTCGTCCAACGAGCAGAACATTAAAAGCTCATGCCCAAAACAAATCTGTTCACAGTTTTCAGGCGGGTAGATGGTTACGAAAGCTAAATTGGGTGTCTACCGAGCCACGGCGCTGACCTTGTCACCGGATCGGACCGCATTGTCTGAGGATATCCTCTATAAAAATACTTTCAACGGTGAAAGTCTCTTGCCACAACCACAATATGAAAACTGCCCTAGAATGTTTGAGAGATCATGAGCAAAGCCTCTGTCCTAAAGACCATCAAGGCTTTTGAGCCTCCGGCAGTGTAAATAGAAAACCGTCTTGCTGGGGATGACTGGATAAGAAT